ATTTTATATTGGATTTTTTGTTATGTTTTTTTAATAAAAAAAAAAAAAAAAGACGAAGGGAAACTAGTGATGAAGTTGTGTACAAAAATCGATGCACTGCAACAAAAAATACAATCGATTTAAACGGGTCATGTTGACAGAAGAGGTAGTTTTTAAGAGTTCCTTCCCCGGAACAAATAACGGAAAGACGGTTTACTTTTGCACTTGTGTGTACTTTCACCAACACTTTAGAAAATGGCAGCAAATAGTTTCAGGGATAGTTTGGCAATAGTCAAAATGGCCTTGAGTGCCTTTTGAAAACATTTTATGCTAAGAATTCTAAGTAAGGGTTGTAATCTAGAACGAATTTCATGTTACTGAAAATAATTACCGAATTACTTCAAACGTCTTGTTAAAACTCATGTTATTAATGAACAGGTGTAAATATATTAATCAGTATGTTATAGAAAAATTTTTGTTAATCCTTAATCTCGATACGCCATCAGACTGTGGTGCCGATGACTGATCTTGGAAGACAAAATTCGTAGACCATAATTTTCGACTGGAAATAATTTATTTGTCAATAATGAATATAAATAAGACTTTATGGTTTAAATTTATTTAATATAACATTAATTAATGGTAAAAATTAAAATTAAAAATATTTCCAGATTTTTTTAAAAAATAGTGAGAAAAAATTACTATATATAATGACCATAATTTTCAATTTGAAATCACTTATTCATCAAAAATATAAATAAAAATAAGATTTTTATGGTTTAAACTACTTAATATAACATTAATTTACGGTAAAAATCTATATATTTTCAGAGAAAGGAAATTAACAACACAAATAAAAGAGAAAATTGTATAGAAATTAATTTAATTGATTTCCTCATCCTCAGTTTCGACATCCGTAGGAAGGATACTCTCTGAATAAAGTCCCTCATAATCGCTTCCTAACTGCAATTAAAATTTTCCGTTTATTTCTTTAGATTATTTCTTTTCTTTTTCACACAGTCTGAAAATACTTGCACTCAAAAATCCATAACCGCCCTAAAAATGTGCTCCCTCAAAATTTTGTATACGCAATATGCGCGATGCAGACCCCTACTATATAATATCCTTTATTTTCCACTCGTTAGTTTTTCGAAGAAGCGAAAAAAAAATGTTCGATCTCTCTGAAACCTTAAGAAGAATGGTAGTTTACTGGTATCAGGTCTAGAAAATATACCTTAGCTACGACACATTATTAACGAAATTATAAACACTACGATTAATATGGATTTCACTCAAATAATTAGCGATTCTTTTAGTCTTATTATTATTTCGATGTGTTTATTTTTAAAAATACCTCAAATTCGTAGTATTAATAGTTTGAAAAATTCTAGGTTAATTAATATATACGGATTAATCATGGAGCTTGGAAGGTAGACTTTAAATTTTTATTTTTAAGCATGCCTTTATGTAGAAGAATAATTTGAAGTGCATCTTTGGGTATTCCCCTTCACAAAGTTTTTTTTTTTTTTAACTTTTGTCTCAACAGTTTGTGTTTAATGATATTGGCGATATTTATAGTGTTGAAATTGGTTTTGTTTGTTTTCCTTGGCATAGAAAGTATATAAACTTTTAAAAAAAGATTAAAAAATCATTAACCCATGATAGGCCCCACTGTGCATCATCTCTCTTCATACTTCATTACAATTTATGATTGAGTAATTTTGGAAATTACTATCATTCATTGCTAATGACGAAAACTGAATTAAAACATTTTTTTTCTTTTTAAATTCAACCCTAATCCTTACAACGTGATGTAACAGTTTATATAACCTAGCTAAAAAATCTGTACTTCTACATTCCATAAAAGTTCAATAGTTTGGAAGAAAGTACTGTTCAAAAGCCAACTGTTGTGCAAGTAGGTGATCATACCTAAATCATGCTCAACCGCCAGATTTCCTCCCTTAATCAATCGTCTAAATAAGAATATCTACTTTATTCCAGTAGCTGCTGCGTTTGCTCCAGGAAGGTATCCCGATCCCAAGGTCGAGCTGCAGCTGATGTAACATAATACATAATTACCTGCCATGAGCCGAATTCGAATCCGAAACCATGGGTTAAGGAATTCAATGCCTTACCCACTGAGCTACCCTGCTCCTAAATATCTTGTACTACAATCAATAATATCATTAAACTGTTTCAACAGAGATCCTTTCGTGTTTGCATTTAAGGAAAATAAGTTTCAAAATATAAGCTGTGATCAAATTATTTCGTTATAAAAAAATTCTCTTCTTCGGATAAAAATATGGGGGAAAAATATAATCTTAAAAAAAATTATATCACTACAACTCATGAAGCGTCGTTACTGTTACAATAAATATCCTGGTATTACGATAAATCATCATCCGCCACTGCCGGACTCAAATTTGAAAACTGGCTTCCTCAGACAAAGGATTACAGTGCCTTACTCATGAAGATACGCCACTCCCACAAAATAAAATACTTTTCATTAATAAATACGTGCATTTACTTACTTCAACATTATATTACCAACACCTTTGAGTCCCATACAGTAAACATTTCTAAGTCTATTTGTTTTTATTTTTTTTTAAATATATAAAATAGGTATTTGCATGACGGATAGTCTATTAATAAACAACTAATAATCGATCGTTTTATTAATGTTGTTAATCTAATAACATTAATCACATTAAATAAATAATTATTATTAATTCTTTATGATATAAAACAGTTTTTAGTTACAATCTTGTAATATTTTATTTTATACTGGACGGATCGTAGCGAAGACACCACACAGCTTATTTTCAGAATTATTTCTTCCTTATTTTGAATCCAAATTGGCAATAAGAATAAGCATAATTATATAAATTGTCAGTTAGGTATATATATAATATATATATATAATATAGATTTATTATATAAAATATCAAATTTATCCGAACTGTGGTTTCGTTCGGTTTGATATATGTGGATAAAAAATAATACAAACTGAACTACAGAATACTTTTAAATTAGTTATACAATTTGAGCAACGGGTTTTACAATTAAATGAACAATTGTATAATTAATGTAAATCCCTCCTCTCTAACCTGACACACCAAGGCACCAATGTGGTCCTACAGTGGATCCCCAGCCATTGTGGGATTCCGGGTAACGTTGAGGCTGATATTCTTGCCAAGCGAGGAACAGATTTGCCTCAGCCGATACATCCAAAACCTTATGACTCAATACGGCGAATGGTGAAGATGGTAGTGAAGGAGGAAATAAGAAAAGTACATTTCGGCAAAGTTGAAGGGGAGCGTTACGAGTGGTTGAAGGATAACCCGATCCCAGCTGAGCTGCCGAGAAGAGAAGCAGTTGCCTGCTTCCGCCTGGCTACTGGTCACGACTATCTGCAGAGTCATCTCTACAAGATAGGCGTCGCTGAGGATCCTAGTTGTAAATTGTGTCATCTAGGAACAATGGATGCAGACCATCTAGATGCATGTCCTGCCTTGAGGGACATAAGAGACAAAATATTTCCGAATATACATATAAGAAAGTCTAAATTATACTGGGTTGTATTTCCCCCAAGTTGTTATAAAAAACTAAATCGTGTGCTTTAGACCACACGATAGAAGTTAAAACATCAATAAGGCGAAATGAATAATATGAAATATAAATTATAAATAATATCTCATTATAAAAAGAATGAAATGCTGAACATTTCTCTCGCTTACCGTATGAAGGTCCAATGTTTAGTTTCTAAGATATTTTAATACTTATCTTAAATAAAACTAGTAATAATTTGGTTTTCGACACTATGTTTTCCCTTTTCGCCTCTCCAGCACTGCGTCGCATTAAATTGCAATTTTGAATAAGAGCCCATTACAAAAAAGACGAAATACTGAACATTTTCCTCACTAACGATATGCAGGTCCGATTTTTTAATTTTATATAAGATATTTGGATTGATATGCAAAAACACTTCAGTTAATCGACTATACCTGAGCGTTACACTTCGGAGATCTGACGGCTCAATCTAATTCACTCGCCATAAATAAAGTATAAAACGCGCTGATGTTTTCACTTCAAGAATGTTTTACTATGATTATATTAGTTTTAAAACTTCTAGATTTATAAACCATCAAATAGATTTTTAAATATTCAAGAAGCATATAAAATGAACCTTTTCTTATGAACTGGTTTCACCAATACTTGCATTAGACTAGGCGATTTGCCTTTTTTAGTATTGGTAATTTGGCGAAGGTTAACACCTTTTCACAAGCAGTTAGAACTTAAAACTGAACTGAACCATTTTATTAGTAAGTATTATGTAGTAAATTTCTATTTAATTAGGGACAGTTAAGAACATCCATCATATTATGTTTTAAATGAGTTTTAAGAGAATTATAAGAGAATATTCCCGAACTGTTATGGGAAAAGTTCCTTTGATGGGTCCCACGTACTATTATTTATGGGCTAGAGTAAAACTTTATATAAAGTTAAAAGATTTATTGCCTCAAGGATAGGATTTATAAAAGCTTCGAGATTCCTCTTCTTACCATAGGATGAAGAATGTTTTAATCGTGTCTCGTTGTAAAACAAATAATATAAATATTTGAGAGGGAGGAAAACTGGTGTCATAACTTCCTCTAAACACATTTCTTTAAATTAATTTTTAATGAGTTTATAAACCTAGAGAATATATTTTTAATTAAAAATATTTTTCTTTCATTAATAATAAAATTTCATAATTTAAATTTATTGATTAATCACCTATGTGAGAGGATTAATTTATTCAAAGGAAGGTTTTAAATACCTGAATATATATTTTTTTATACTTGCAAAAGCCATATCTCGGGTACAGTATTTAGTTACTTAGATAGCTGATGGAGTTGTATTGTAGTTATAACATTTCTTGTTATTTTAGAAAAAAAAAATCATGTTAGGTACCCAAACATTAAGCTTGGAAACATAGCCGAGCTTGTGCAAATGGTTTTCTACACTTTTGTGCGACACATTTAGGACCATAGCAATCTCTCGCGCTGATTTGGTTGGATTTTGATCAACGATGGCCTTAACATAGCTCGTTTCAGTTTAATGTCGGCGAACAGACCTTTGTGCATCATTGATGTCCGAATTTCCTGAATTAAATTTGGCAAACCAATTTTGACAAGTGCGTTAGGTTAAGGCATCATCCCCATAAACAATGCAAACTTTTCTATGAGCTTCTGGTGTACGCTTACTTTTTTAAAAATAATACAACAAAATATACCGATAATGAATGATATTTTCTTCCATATTCACAGTGCAATAGCAAACACTATACTAAGCTTTTCAATAAGAATTAACAGATATAGTTGTTGACATATTACAAACATCATAAACAATCCCCCTTAGGGATTAATTATTCACATAAGGGTATCATAGTGACATTAAGAAAAACCGAAAGGACTTATTTGCCAACCCAATATTGATGATACAAAAACAAATAATTTTTTTTTAGTATTTTGGTAATTTGAAAAGAAAATACAATTACAAACAATATATTTTAAAATATTTTTATAAAATTCTGTCTAGATCTGTTATATATAAATAAGTATGTATGTTTTTCAAAATGAATTTATCCACGAACTAAGGTTGTAAGTGAATATATTTTTTATTTCGAGTAATACTTCTCTTTTTCAACTAAGAAAATGTAGGACCTGTTCTGAAAAGAAAAAAAAATAGAGAAATGGTTGCAAAGATGAGCTATTATTTGAAGACTTGAAATGAGCACGTGGAAGCCCAGAAACTAAACAACCACCTACAACCTTCCATCAAGAGAAGAACGAGCACTGTCGAAAACCGGATTGAGGAAGGACCTCTTTGAGATTAGGTTTATTTTTAAAAGGTGGCTCGCTAATGGCTGGCTTAGGCTGTCGGAAAAAGAAAGACGACTCCTGATTGGTCGACCTCACCTTGACCGAGAGGACCGGTTCTGCCAGTCTTCATCGCCAGGTCCTCCAAGTTACGCCGTCCTAGTCTTCCCATTGTCTCGGTCATAGCATGCAATGGCTTCGCATATGATTTCCGCCAACATATATCATTTCTTCGACTCCTCTACTATTACGTTATAATACATGATTCGAAGGCGTTGAATTTCGTAATATAGAAGGTTGTCCTTGTGGATTTGTAATAGGTCATTACTCCCAAGTAGGCGTATTTTCCTGTCACTGCTAATTTAAAATATCTGGCCCTTCCACTCACTTGAATTTTCTTACGTTTTTGAGTGCAATGATTTCCATGTAATATATAATACGGTAGCAAACTCAATTTCGTGGAGAAGTGACAAAAAATATGACATTACAAAACTCCGACGTTGAAGTCAATATATATAATTATAGCTACGGTAAGCAGAAAGCAGAAAAAGAAATCACCCAAATTTCACCATTTTTTTAAAAACAATTACACAGCCAATCGTATTTTTTTTTTTTTTTTTACTGAAATTTACAACTGTATTACATAGAAAATACATCAAGTAAATGTGACATTGGTAACATGACATGTACAACGTGAAGAGAAACTACCCATTGGTAGAACTTAAATTAAAGTTCTATATTAGAAGATCCCGTGGCCATCTTGTTTTCAGACGCCTCGGAGCGTTATCAGGGATCGAGGAGGAAGCAAGGTTTGAAACGAGAGGATTCGGATGGTTCTGCAGTTTATTATGGAAGGATAGGTATCTGGATTGGGCCAAATCGGTAACATATGGAACATTAAGGTCTTTATGGATGATTTTATTTGTGACAAAGTAAGGAGCGAATCAGAATTTTGGATTTTAAGGATTGGATATGAGAATAATTCGATGGTTTAGGGGAGCCCCAAATCTCAATCCCCTAAGTTCAAATAGGTCTTATTATTGTCATTTATATGAGTCGTTTGTAATTGATTGAAAGCTTAGAGCGTTTGTCTAGTAAGTGCTGCAGAATCGTAATTTACACACACATTTTTGTATATTATATTGAATGGAAATCGATAGCTCTCACTAATAATGGTTTGCGTTTACTAAGTTTCATATTACATTGCTATTTGTTCGATGACCAAGAAACTATGTTAATTATTCTCACGTGCCAAATAGTTTATAATAAACAAACTAATAAATAAAATAGTTCGTGAATCAAGATAAAATTACCTCACGCTTTTTTTTCTGTATTAAAAAACATAACCCGTGAACAACCAGGAAACCTTCAATAACGAAGCGTGCTGTATTTCCTTGAAGATTACTATTAATTTAGTTACCTTGAACGTGCGCATCCTTCGAGTTGCATTGATAAGTTTCTTCTTTCTGATTGAAATGCTTCCTATATACTCTACCTGCTGACCTCTGTGTGGTTGCTAAGTTCTCTATAACTTAACACTATAAAAAAATTAAAATTTATCAAAAAATTTAGAAATGGTAGAAAAAAATGATTATAAAAGAACATTACAGTTTTTATTGTGAAATGATAAAATATGCCTAAATATGAAAAAATAAATTATATTTCGAAAACATACTTTCTACTCATCTATCCTAATAAATGCTTTCTTTTAATTTATAAGAACGTTTATCTCCAAACAGATGTAACTATTGGACATTAATGATTGTAACGTTGTTGTTCTTCACATCGTTGAACCGATTTCGTCCCTATAATGTTGTTTGACGGAACACTCAAGGGATAACTCTTGATCATAATCTAAGATGTATTTGTCTCATTAGTCAGGAGAACTCAGAACTAATTCAACAAGAAACTTGTACAGACAACTTGGTACATATCAGTTACAACAAGAAGTCGGTTAGTCCCCAGTAGTGCTGTTATACTAATCTGTTAGAAACTCATTTAATTCGGCAAAAAAGGTACTAAGTTTCAAGTCATCAATCTAATCTTCAGTATTCTTTGCTAGATATTTGTGAATTATTAACCAGAAAAAAATATTTTCCTAAAATAAACTCTCTGAAAATAATCCAGTACGAATGATAATTGGTACTACTTTTTTGTCAAGTTTTATAAAAATCAATTTACTATTATTTTTTTATTGTCGACTTCAATCATTTTGATATTTGTAAGATCTTCTCTTATGAATTCTAATGCTTAGGAACCATCTAATGAATTGCTCAATATTCGGAATCTCAAGGGGTACGCATATTACTGAGTTTCACACCAAGTTGAAGTGGCTTTATCCGTCCTACCGCAGTCAATATTTCGTTGCTACCTTCCTACAGATCCTACAATTCAAATGCTCCTTTCAATCCCGTCCCACCAGATTCCGTACGCCCGACCTCTATCCTTCTCCTCGCCGAACTTCTGCGTTTGATAAAGCCTTTTTAATTCAAGTTGTCTCCCTCTGGAACTCTATACTCTCAGATATTCGACACGCAAAATCAACATCCTCTTTCAAGTCTGAATCCATGGATTATGGCTGTTTAGAATCAAAAGGCGCACGAGGACCTATATTTCTTTCCCTGAAAAAGACCAACAATGCACTCTCGAGGGAAATAGTGACAGCATGGAAAACCACATCACAATTCTTGCCTAAAGTACACGGGGATAGGCCATCACTCCTATAATTGGTCGGTGTGTGTTGCCTTCAGAAGTCAGACTGGTCCACATGGCAGAAGATAGTAATATCGGGTAGCATGGCTTCCTGAGTGGATGGTCAACTAATTAGGGCTCCCAGCCATCTATGAACATACTTCACTAAACATTGCTTAACTTAGATTACCAATTTCAAGCGCCTTAGCCCGCCCATCAGAATCCTCATTTCATTGGCTAACTCATTGTTGCACATATCCAAAATTCATTCATAAATAATGAGTTCTGGAAACGATTTGGATTAAGAAAATGTGTTTATGCATACGTATTAATGCGATGAGATAAAGTTATAATTTTTGAACTCGTAGATTCACGATGTTCCCTATTATGTTTGGATTAATTTTTTTAGAGATTTTAATTTTTTTAAAAACAAATCGCTTGATTTAAAGAATCCTAACATTAACTTTATTCTGTCTTTGGCATCCCTCAAAATGTTTGCTATTCCAGGTGTAAGCCCTGAAATAGTTAGACCCGATACGTAACATGTAACATGTCGCTGACGGTAAGTGTATTATTGCAGTGTTGGCATTGTGGTTCTGGCTGTTTGCTAATAAGATGTGATTGGGTAAGCTTGGTGTAGCCTATTCTCAGTCTGGTTAAGACAACCTCTTCACTGCGGATATAACGATTTGATGTTGATCAAGGTTTTATTGTTTTTCAATATCTTTGCTTTGCGGACTCTCATTCCACATGGATTTTCAGTATGAGATATTTCTTTTTTTAGGTGAAGACTTATATCTTGAGGCGTTAAAACGGCAGCGCACCGACTTGAAAGAGTAAGGGGTTGTTTCGCTGCCATTTCCAACGATTCCCACATGGCTCGGTACTCAAATAAAGTATAGCGACTTTCCTAGAGTTTCTAGCCTATTTAAATATTCCTGATTTTTTAAGATGGATGGATGTTTCGGGTATAAATTATTCATCCCTCATAGAGAACTTAGAGAATCAGTTATTATTGTAATGTTTTGGAGGGTTATTGTCATAGAAAGGTAGAGGGCTGAGGCTATTGCATGAAGTCGGCTGTATATATACGGCACAGTTTATGTAGTTTAGTGGGTCGATTTTGGGTGACAAAAGAAGACGCTGTGGATTCATCCAATTTAGAACCATCAGAATAGATTAAATATGGTTCTGATATATTTTTGAAGAATAGGTGAAAATTTAGTTTTGTACTCAGTAGGCGAAGTTTTACTATTTGTAGCCGAATTAGGTTTATCCTTATTTTAGGCGGTTTGTCAAGCCAAGGAGGATTATGGATTTCTTGTCTGATTAAGTTATTCCTGAAAGAATAATCTATAGGTTTCACCATCTTCATGATAGTGGATCGTTTCGGTATCTTATTATCTTTTTCTATTTCTTGAGGTTCTCGGTAATCCTTATCAGAATATTTTCCCACATACTTGCTATGCCTTCTCTTTTAAGTTCATTATTAAATAAATAAAAACATGTTTTCCTGAAAGAGTTTATTTATAGTTCCTCGAAAATGTGAACGGTACTAAGTCTAAGTTTCTCATCGTTAGAGAAGTTTCCCTCAGGGATGATAGGAAAAACTGAACTTATAAATGAAGCCATTTTCCCAGGACGTCAAAATGCGGAAGAATAATTAATACACGTCGCAGTCTGGGAAAACTGCAATTATTAAAATAATATATCCGATGGCAAACAATAGAACAAGAGTGAAAAAGGCACGCAAAAAAATGGAATGAGAAAGTAGAAGGAAGGTGAATCAATATGGATACAAATGTTAATTTATTTTATTAAAAATCCATTTATCTGGAGCAAACCACGTATAGCTTATGCATCCTTACCCACTAAATTTTGATTAAGGAAAGTTTCATTCCTCAAGTTTCGTATGCCTTGTCCAAAACGTATTGCTGAGTTCAAGACTTATCTGTTATTTTGCTTAAGTAGTTTGGATGGTGTCGCCCAAATGCAAGACCAAAACGCGTCTTGGTCATGCGTAAGGGTCTCATAATAGTCTTGCTGTTACCTATTAGCTTATTGCTATGTATTAAACATGTTAGCTCTTAGAAAAACGCTACAGAATAGGGATATTTAGATGCTCATTGACTTAAATATAGTAAAGTCTAACCAAATTAATAAAATTAACTCGAGAATACATTAAAGGTATTGTCTAGAAAGATAGTGATAGACCCTCCACCCTGGAATGGAAGAGTTGTATTGTGAAGACAATCTATACAATGTCATAAATTATTTATATAAAAAATCTGGTATTTCTACTTACATAATTTCCTACCGATTCTAAACATTTTTTTTTCAATTTTAAATAACTTCATTAAAAATAACCCAACAGAATTAGAAGAAATTTCCTGATAATCGATCAGAGGAAATATTAGAGCACGTTTTGTTTGATGAACTAAAACAATGTAAACGAGCAAGTAAACAATTAATAAAATCAGT